AAGCCTTAAAATCTAACTCTAATCAAAGAAGCTCAGGGTATCCTAGAAGGACAAGACCTAACCTCATCCTTCAGTCATTAATACAATGGCTGAGAAAAGGAGTATTCTTGCAAACTGGAACCAAAGAAAAAGAAGAAAGAAGCAAAAGAAGTCTTATTCCTTATAAGTTTAGTAGTTTGGTTTATGTTAATATCATGAAGACAAGCTCTGTCTATGAAGAATCCAAAGAGACACAAAGAAAGTTCATAAAGGTTGCTTTGAGTCTGCAGGATGGTAATCGTTAGAACACAGAGAACTAAAATGCTCCAAGCCCAACAGAACTTTAACAACATCTCTGCTAGCAAGGCCCTGAACTCAAACTGGCATGAAGGGGGACCACAGCCAGTGGCTTTGCATGGTTCACATCAGGGGAGCACAGATGGGCAATGCAGGAAACCAGCAGATTGAAACAGTGCTTCTAAAAGCACTATTACAAAAAAACCAACAAATCACCTCTCGAAAAAACGTGTCCTTGTGCAGAAAATAAACAGGTGTTTTCTAATTGTGCCTAGTCCACAGTTCTTTCTCTGTGGCATTCACTTTCCCAAAATGGACCATGTCTATTGTCCTCTGTTATTGTGAAATGCTTCACACAATGGGAAGCACTGGGGAAATACCTTAGTGACAGTATATCATTGGATACGTGACAACTTTCCAGGGATGGAGGTTGGGTGGTGCTAAGTATGAGTGTGTATGTGTGAGGCTTGACCCTAAGTTATATATTTTAGGTGTCCCTTTATAAATGTGAATTTTCTTTTTAACACCTTTCTTTGAAAATGTGATATGCAAAAAGACATGAGCAATCAGTTAACAGATTATACAGGTTTGCCAAATTGGAATTCAAAGTAATTGGGAAATCCAGCACAAGTAAAGGTCACCCAGAAAAATCTCACTCTTCAGAAAGGCTCTGGCAATAATGAAAGAATGAGATTTTAATCACTGAAGCTAATTACATAGAAGACTAAATCACAAGAAGAGTTATTTAAGTGTCTTAAATACAATAAAAAGTAATTAACAGGAAGAGCCATTTCGACAACTTCATGTCACAAACTGGACCTAAAAGGATCAGCTAATTCCCAACCTGGGGGCCAGGGAGTGAGAAACAACTCAAAGTTTGCTCTTTTTATTTTTTACTTAAACTGTTTTGATCAGCAGATAACAACTCTTGCCAACTCCACAGTGAAGTTAATCAAAAAACCTTACATACATTAGAGGAATGATGAACCTCGTTTTGGTTCCCCAGAGGGAAAGAGATGGGAAGCTGGAGACTGTCATACCAGAGAGGCCTCCCAGAGACCCTGGGACTCGACTCCCTCTCAGATACCAAGAAGAAAAACAGAAGCATTAGACTAGAGCCTATCGAGCATACAGACAACTCACACACTTGGGCATGTGAAATATGTTTAAAAATCTGCTTTGAAATGACCCTGTAAGAACCTCCATCTCATCTGTCTCCTCTTTCCTATTACCCTGGACTCAGCAACTGGAGGGAAGCTCTTCTGGAGTCAGAGAATCTCAGCTGATCTCTGGAATAACGGGAAAGCCATTAGATGCCATGAAGGCCAATACGTGGGTGGATAAGCCTACAGACAATGGCAGGCACAATTTAGGTTGGACTGCTCCTTAATTCTGCAGCATTTCTACAAGCTTGGACAAAAGCCTGTCTTTGAAAGAGGCAACGCTTACTACAAAAACTCTCCTGGCTAACCTTCCCTTAACTAACCTGGACTTTCTATGACTCGCTAAACCTACTGGCTGATGCTAGTTAGAGTGATTGAGGGCCACTCTGACACACCTGTGCACTTCTGTTGCAATGTGTTGTACCATTTGTTTCTGTGTCAAGATTTATATATACTGGCTGAGCTTGTTATTTTAATTATGTAATTCATTAAATGTTACATTAATAATTAAAATATGAGTACAAAAAGAATGTGTATGAAAACAGTTGAATACTTTAAAAAGGTGTAATAATGAGAAATTGCTTTAAAATGGCAGCAAAATAAACATGAGCAGGATAACTGTAATAGATGAGAGAGGTGTGAATCACAAAAATCTATGGTTCCATAATTAGTGTTTTCAAGTCCTCATGCCAAAGAGGAAGTTATGCAATACCATACAGTTGATCCATGCTGCTCATACATCAAAGATCTGGAAGTGCATATATATTTCTGTGTTTAAAATGAAATTAAAATGTTTGAAATTAAAAGTATTAAATCCCCTTCTCTAGCCAATGTTTTTTTAATAACTAACCATTAAAGTCAGACGGAGTGCTTTTAGAATACCTTAATTCTGAATATAAGACGAGACATGTTTACTAGTAATTCAACTTTTCTACAATATTATTTGGAATTGTTTAAGCACAGAGAATTCAGGAAAAAATGTAAATAAGAATAAAATCAAGGCAAAAGGAAAATAAAGAGAAGCTATGAGTAAGATTGGAATATAAAAAGTATGCTGCCAGGTAGACCTTCTAGAAACGTACTCTTTGGCTCTGAGCTTCCAATAATCAAACAAACGTGGAAAACTGTCAGAAACAAGTTTTTTAATATTAACCAGACAGAAACCAACCTGTAAGTCCAAAGACACATCTAAGTGTCCCTGTTATGCTTAATTAAGGGATACTTAATTAATTTTAATTTAAATTTTTAGTGTCACAAACAATGAATCCTTTTATTAGATAACTGTTCCTCTTATCTAATTACTAGTAAAAGAACATCACTATTGTAAAAATGCACATCTTTATTTTTTGACAGATGACATTGACCCATTTAAACAATCATTTAAATTTAAGGGACACTTTGCAATACAAAGCATTCATAAATTTACTGAACTCCTACCAAATGCTGAATGAGACCACAACAAGGAATAAAAGAGACAAAAATCACTATCTTCTGGGAGCTTAATGTCTAGCAAGAGCTGGTCTCAACAATATCACTAAATCCTGTATTTCTCCCAATTGCAGCTGAGTAGTTTACTTCAAAGTCTGGCTTAGTAGAAACAAATCTAAGAGGGAACTTTATCGTTCTTAGGTAGCCTGCCAGGCTGGTCTAATTCAAGGTAAATATTTGGTAAATTGTAAAGAATTATTTCTTACAATCTAACTACAATAGCCAAGAAAGAGAAGGTCAAGGTTATTATCCCTGGCAGAAATCTGAAATATAGATACACAATGTTGTCAATTAAGACCAATCAACTGTGTTGTTAACTGACCAAAATGATTAAAAGGTTGGCGTCTTCTTCCCAACAATCTAACCAAAATGTTGGCTGCAACAGAGTCACCTGAACCTTGGCAGAAAGGCAGGCTATTCTGAAGGAGTTATTTTGGTCAAAGCCACAATCAATGCGGTTGAGACCTCAAGGTCTCATTGCATGGGCATGGCTATAACACCCTACACTGGAAAAAATTTTACATCAGCTGCTCAAATTGCCTTTTAAAAATCCCTATAGAATACTCTTGGGAAAGAAAAAGAAAACAAAAAGAAAAAACCCAACAATAACAAAAAGAACACCCCCAGAATATCTAATTTTAAGCAGTATAAATTTACTTTAAAAGTATACCTCAGTGGTAACTAAATTTAAAAAAAATCCACTCTAAAAGATTGTTTAAATGGGTCAATGTCATCTGTCAAAAAATAAAGATGTGCATTTTTACAATAGTGATGTTATTTTACTAGTAATTAGATAAGAGGAACAGTTATCTAATAAAATGATTCATTGTTTGTGACACTAAAAATTTTAATATAGGGAATAACAACTTTCCATCTTTCTATAGTACGGAAGCTTGCATCAAGCTCCTAAGAAGTGGTGATGAATTAATTTAAAAACATTGCAATTTATACAGATAGAAGAACAACCAAGGTATTTCCTACATTCTGGTATTTCAAAATTATGTGATTTGTCAAGAATCTGCTCCTAACAAAACATGATCCCTGTGACGGTGTTATGGTTAACGACATCAAAGATTGTATTAAGTCTCCCTTGGCAAAAATAGTCTCTGATTTGTTATAGAGTGGTAATAGTGGCTAAAAATACTTATTTGCAAATGTGATAATACAAATGAAGGGAAAAGGTTCCTATTTGAGAAGCGCTTCTGAAGGTACATTTGCTACAAGATTCCCTTTCCTTTCACAGGCATGCTGGAACTTAGAGGTGTTTCTCCTATCGTGCTTCATTGTATTTTCAATGAGACAATCCCTGTTTTGATGAGAAACCTATTCTTTTCTTCCCTTCCATCTTGCCCCCTTAAAAGAAAAGAAAAATACCAGTTTGGTAACAAACAACATTTAAGATTGTTAAATAGAGAAGGAAACAATTACCATGCTGGTAGAGTTTATGCAGAGTAAGAATTGCTACCGGGGACTGACTGTTTTAATATTTATTGTGCAAGCATGGCCCAGCAGGCTTCCTCCGTCCCCCATGAGATGCCTCTCTTAAAAGACTGTTCATCAATCAAACCTTCAAGAGACTTTGAATATAACCAGGAGACAGCCAGCACAGTACAAGGGAAAGACCCTGTCATCCACTGATTACATACATCTATACACAGAAAACATCCAATTAACCTCTCTTCTTCCGTCTTTTTATTTTTTTGGTGGTGGGGGGGGTGCGGAGGGAGGAAAGGGGGTCTAAAATTGAGCTTCCAAAACTAACAGGCAAAGAAACTTTCTAACTACTTTTGATAGTACCTAAGGCCTGAATGACACCCAATAAATGGCATTATTAATAGTAATAACGTGTGCTACATAGTGCCAAGTACACAGAACCCAAGAAATCGGAAATAACAATAATGAAGTACATGATTAGCTAGTGAGTGATTATAAAGTACTTTGCAAACATAAAGTGCTGCGCAGGCACATAATAATCGTCAATCATTGTGTTAAGAGCAACAGAAAGCAAATCAGGGCGAGGGGAAAGAGAGACATGAATGAGCAGAGAACTCTTAGTTATGGCTGAGCACTCACATTCCTCCGATGGTGACAGTGGCACAGGTACGCTCTGAAAAGGCAGGCACCGTCTCCGTGGCTGGGCTGGCCGGCCGAATGTAGTCCACAGTCACATTGACCTGAAAATAAAGAATCAAGGCAGTTAAGGTTGGGAGTCTGCAGCACAGCTCACTAATAGCCACTCACATCCGCACAATTATGAAATGTCACCTCACTTACAGTTTGATTTTTCTGGACATAATATTTTAAAAACCAACAACTGAAAGACAACTGACCCACACATTCATCAAAAATATCTACATGAAAGTCCTATCTGATAGAGGAATGCTAACCAAAATGTACCAAAAACTCTTAAATCTCAACAGTAAGAAAATGAACAGCCCAATTTAAAAATGGGCGAAAGACCTGGATATGTCACCAAAAGACTTAGAGATGGCAAATAAGTACATGTAAAGATGTTCCACAATGTATGTTGTTGGAGAAATGCAAATTAAAACAACTGTGAGCTACCACAACACACTGATAAAATCCAGAACCCTGACAATAACAAATGCTGGTGAGGATGTGGAACAGGAATTTTCATCCCCCGTTAGTGGGAATACAAAATAGGACAGCCACTTTGAAACCCAGTTTGGGGGTTTCGTACAAAACTAAACACACTTTACCACACATTCCAACAACAGAAAAATTATGTCCACACAAAAACCTGCAAATAGGTGTTTATAATAGCTTAATATATAATTGCCAAAACTTGGAAGCAACCAACAGATCCTTTAGTAGTTGGATAAATAAACTGTGGTTGAAGTCAGAGAAATGTTATTCAGTGCTAAAAAGAAATGAGCTATCAAACCATGAAAAGACATGGAGGAAATGCATATTATAAAAAGAAAGAAACTAATCAAAAAAAGCTGCATGTAATATAATTCCAACTATGACATTCTGAAAAAGGCAAAACTATGAAGAAAGGAAAAAAATCAGCTGTTGCCAGGGGTAGGGGAACAACACAGGGATGAACAGGCACAGTAGTAGATTTTTTACAGCAGTGAAACTACTCTGTATGACACTATAATGATGGATACAGGTCATTACACATTTGCCCAAACCCACAGAAAGCACACCATCGAGAGTGAACACCAATGTAACCTGTGGAATCTGGATGATGATGTGTCAGTGGAGGTTCACAGGTTATGAGAAATGTACCCCTCTGGTGGGGGGTTGTAATCGTACTGGGAAGGGCTTGAGAGAGGACAGGAACTCCGTACTTTCTGCTCAATTTTGCTATGAACCTAAAGCTGCTCTAAAAATATACAATTTAAAAAAAAAAAAGTGAAAAGGTGAATGATACAGGAAGAGAGACCAATGGCTAACCATGTAAGGCCCCACAGAAATCACCCTTGTCAGAGCGGAGGTGCAGGGGGTCCCTGCAGGACCCCCGCATGCTACCGTGAAGCAGTTCTTCAACCTTCAGGCTTCTCTAAAATCTGTTTTTAGAAAATATGAAATGTCTCTACAGAAAAACTGCACGTAATTTCAGTCTGCCACAAATTCTCATGGGCCAAGTTAAGAGCTATCAAGAAGAACAAACAAGATGACCAACATAAAGATGCTTGGGGCTGGTTTCACAGCATGTCAATCAAAACAACATCGCTAACTACACCTAATACCAAAAAATTGGCATTATGAAATTCTGAAAACAGCAAGAATAGAATGGACCAAAGAACCGTTGCATTTTGAGTTAAGATAGGCTATGTATACAAAAAGGTTAGAAAGTAAGGAGCCTAAAATAGGAATGCTGGCTAATCCTAATATACACTAAATATAGGGATTATAGACATAATGAGCCATGTTTTTTCTTCATGCAACCTTTTAAGATAAACATGTTTATGTGTCAAAAGAAATAAGTATGTAATAACCTTAAGAAATATACAGGGTGTTTTATAATTAAGGTGTATGCTTGGCTTGGGTCATGGCCAAGGTTTCATACCTGTACAAAAGAGACATATTGGGTTAAGCAGCCTGAAGCCAGCCCCACAGCCTGAAGCCAGACCCATAGCCTGAAAGTCCAGAATCCCATTTTCTAAATGTGTCTTTTGTTCCCACAGATCAGCTTAAATACAGCCTACAGCACAAGCATCAAGTTCAACCACACTGCTGGTGAGCACCATTAAAATCCTTTCAAACTGTTCTTCAAAGACTCATTTTAAAATGAGAATGGAAATTTTGAAAAGGACAGCTGCCTCAAAATTCCACCTATTAGATCACTCAATTACTTGAACACTCCCTCTAATCACCTATTTTAAAACTGATTTATAGAGAAGGGGGAGAGGGAAGGGGAGAGAGACATCAAGCTGTTGTTCCACTCAGTTATGCATTCACTCGCTGCATCTTGTATGTGCCCTGACCACGGATTGAACCTGCAACCTTGGTATACTGGGACAGTGCTCTAATCACCTGAGCTACCCAGCCAGGGCCATCTAATCATGTTTTAAAAGCAACAAGGAGCCATGCTAGAGAGAAAGCCAATTAAAAGCTAAAAGTAAAAAGTACTGTCATAATACAATAACTTAGAAAAGAAGACAATATTAAGATGACTTCTACAATCAGGTGTCTGCACTGAAATTACTGCTCTGTCTTACCAACTTGCCTAAAGCTAAGGAGATGGGTACATGTAAGGGAAATGACCAGACTGGGGTCGGGGTGAGGTTGAACAACTTGTACCACCAACAAAAAGGTTTGGTAGTTTCCCTGTGTGCAGCTGGTCCGAGTCAGGGCAAGGAGCGGAGGAGGTCTACACAAAGACAGGCATGGCTGACGCAAATCCGCAGGGGGGGGGGGCGCTTTTTATGCTGTCTACCTTAGTACACTTGGCTCTCCTCTGGTAAAGTCCTAAAACAAATCTACAGAGGCAGGAAGAGGGCCAGGAGTGCACTTGGGTATCTGCTGAAGTCATGGCAAAACCACACAGGAGTGCATGGAAGCTAACCCTTAAGGGTGCCCACACTATGGAATGTAAAGTAACTCAGAGCCACATTACAAAGGGGTATAGTCACAGCGTATGGTCCAAACTGGGGCATTAGGTGGGAAGTCAAAAAATACATGGAGATAAGTAAAGAGGCCCACATATCTTTTCACTTAATCCATCTGAAAAGGTCAAGTCCTCAATTCTATTACTACAGGAAAGAAATACATCCCTGCTTAAAAATAAACTAAATGAATCTCAAATTTACCTTGCACCTACCCATGCCAAGCCTCCTCCTCAGCTGACAGGCGTGAAGAGCAGCTCTTTAGTGCCAAATACACTGCACAGAGTCACATTAGCTTCTACCCAGAAGGAGCACCAATTCCAACAGGAAGGCCACTTGAGCGGTAATGGTGTTGGGGGGGAGGGGGTCGGCTAATGATAATAAACAAAAAGGAACACCGAGCATCCCCTAGCTCAGAAGGCCAAAAGACATATCCCAGAAAATGTCTCTCAGGGAGATCAATGAGAAGAGAAAAAGAAAGTAGTTATCACAGATATGTCCCCTAGAGCAAGAGACATAAAGGTAAGAATAAACAAGTGGGACTCATCAAAATAACCAGCTTCTGCAAAGCTGAAGAAAACATCAACAAATTGAAAAGGGAACCAACCATATAGGAAAATATATTTGTCAATGACATCTCGGACAGAGGTTTGATCTCCAAAATATATAAAGAACTCACTCACATGACTCCTCTCCAGGAAGACCAACAATCCAATTAAAAAATGGGCAAAGGATCTGAACAGACACTTCTCCAAGGAGGACATATCCATGGCCCAGAGACACATGAAAGGATGCTCAGCATCACTAGTCATCAGAGAGACGCAAATTAGAACCACAATGAGATACCACTTCACACTAGTCAGAATGGCCATCATAAACAGATCAACAAACAACAAGTGCTGATGGGGTTGTGGAGAAAAGGGAACCCTAGTGCACTGTTGGTGGGAATGCAGACTGGTGCAGCCACTGTGGAAAACAGTTTCGAATTTCCTCAAAAAGCTAAAAATGGAACTGCCTTTTGACCCAGTGATTCCACTGCTGGGATTATATACTAAGAATCCCAAAACTCCAATTCAAAAGAACGTATGCAACCCCAATGTTCATCACAGCGCAATTTACAACAGCCAAGTGCTGGAAGCAACCTATGTGCCCATCAATAAATGAGTGGATCAAAACTCTATGGTACATTTACATAATGGAATACTACGCAGCAGAAAGAGCTACTACCCTTTGCGACAGTATGGATGGAACTGGAGAGCATTATGCTAAGCAAAATAATTGGGGTGAAAGACATATACCATTATGATCTCACCTGTAATTGGAACCTAATCAACAAAACAAACAAGAAAAATATAACCAGCAACATTGAAAGAAAAAACAAAGTGACAGTAACGAGGTGGAGTGGGTAACATGGAAAAGAAGAACAGTCAAGTCAAGGAACATGTATAAAGGCCCCATGGGCAAAGCCAAAATGGGGAAGGACTGAGGGTGGGGCAGGGGAAAGTGGTGGTGGGGAAAATGGAGACAGATGTATTTGAACATTAAAAAAATTTAAAATAATTTAAAGAAAAAGTATTTAATCTTCAATAACCAAAAGAACCAAACACTTCATTTACCTGCCAACTATTTTTTCCCTATATCTAGAATAAGAGAACTGAAAATAAGTAGAAAATTAAAGAGCTCATTGGGGAGGCATCATTATTAAAGAGAATCTCACATACAAATGAGGCCCTAAGAAAAACCCACAGCCAAGACACACATCTGCAGGCAGCTATGACAAATCAGGAATTAAAGTCAATGTGTAATAGGCATTTATGTCCCTCTCCTGTGGATTCTGAGATCTATTCCCCTACCTTGGAGTTTTTCATCTCTAGATACTCACCATTAACTTGTCAATCACTTGAATACACACACACACACACACACACGGTTTAAACAGTTTCAATTAAAACAACTGCAGATATTAGCAACATCTTTGTCTGAATAAATGGTAACCTGAATTTTGTGGTTGTGGGTTAAGTACATATGGAATGGCATGAGTTAAAGAGAAGGTAGTAGGATAATGCAGACGTGGTCCTCATTTTTCAAGCAAAGAT